AGATGAAGTGTTACCACTGGGACACTGTCTTACTCTACCGATACCATAGCAACTAGACTTCATACTTTGATCGCTTCTCTGGAATTTCAGGATCATCCTGTGGAACTCTTGACTGAGTAGAAGGAGCTTGCCTCGTGTAAGGCCTACTCTGACTACTGCTACCTTCTCTGTGTGTCTGAGAGAATTGACATACAGCATCTGATGTATTGCCAACATGCTGTTGAGGGTGGTCTGATGAAGGTATTGTCCTTCTTGGCGAGTGTACATCACCCATGGGTTGGTGTTGAGGATGGTCTGATGGTGGTAATGTCCTTCTTGAAGAGTGTACATCACCCATCGGTTGCTGTTGAGGGTGGTCTGATGGTGGAATTGTCCTTCTTGGAGAGTGTACATCACCCATATGTTGGTGTTGAGGGTGGTCTGATGATGGTAATGTCCTTCTTGGAGAGTGTACACTACCCATATGTTGGTGTTGAGGGTGGTATGATGAACGTATTGTCCTTCTTGATGAGTGTACAGCACCCATGTGTTGGTGTTGAGGGTGGTATGATGAACGTATTGTCCTTCTTGATGAGTGTACAGCACCCATGTGTTGGTGTTGAGGGTGGTATGATGAACGTATTGTCCTTCTTGATGAGTGTACAGCACCCATGTGTTGGTGTTGAGGGTGGTATGATGAACGTATTGTCCTTCTTGAAGGGTGCACATCACCCATGGGTTGGTGTTGAGGGTGGTCTGATGGTGGAATTGTCCTTCTTGAAGAGTGCACATCACCCATGGGTTGGTGTTGAGGGTGGTCTGATGAACGTAATGTCCTTCTTGAAGGGTGCACATCACCCATGGGTTGGTGTTGACGGTGAGCTGATGGTGGAAATGTCCTTCTTGAAGAGTGTACATCACCCATGGGTTGCTGTTGAGGGTGGTCTGATGGTGGTAATGTCCTTCTTGGAGAGTGTACATCAGTGGTTATACTGATGTTGGCGAAGTCAGCAATTCCGCGTGATCTGAGCCATTCAGGACTGATATCATCTAAGTCACACGAGCTGTAAAGGAAACAGATTTTTTGTTATTATCTGTTTGAAAGATAAGAAATAAACAATTGACTACTATTGGTATTATTGAAAGTACCAGTCTCAAGAAACATTTTGATCAGTAAATGAAGATGAAAAAACTAGACTACAGTGTAAAAAAATTATCAAGAACACACACACAAAAAAGGGACACACATAAATCTACAAATTTAAGGTTGAAAGCACTTTACAGTAGGGAATTTGTTCAATAAAGATGTTACTGAATATTTTGTGTTGTCGGACAAGAACTCTTAAATTGTTTTAAGCTACACAGTATAACTTCATTGCATGCTCCCTGATGTGGAATATATCAGCATTGTATCTTTTCTTAGTATTCCATTAGAGGCTCTTTATATTGTTTCTGAATCACACTACTCATGGAAAGTCTACATGCTGTTATCTGATATTTTCTTAAATCACATATAGGCCTACTGTACTAACTTTAGCATATCTGAGAGGGTGTGAAGAAATGAGTTCAAGTCATCTTGAGCAACTCCATTGCACCTGAAGTTTCCCTTTCTAATCTGAGGAAAACAATCCTGTAACATATAACAACAACATTACTTTTAAACAGTTACAAGTGGATCTATTTCATTCAGGCATATAATCTATTTTCTTAGGGACTATGCACCTAAGAGCTACAGTAACATCTCATAAACAAAAGGAGTATGGATAATTTAAAAGAGCTAGAGTAAGACAAATTTTGCACAAGAGATTTACCAAAATTTCAAAAAATGAATGGATCCAATACATACCGGTAGTGCAATTTCATGAAATACTTAAATATTAATCATAGTGGCAGTTTTACTGTTGTAGTACAGGTAGAAGTATTCACTATAGCAGTAGTAATTTAATTATAATACTGAAATCAAGTATAAAAAACTACCTGTTAGGACAAATCTTTCTATTTTTTCTCATACTATATTAGTGGATCAGAGAACAACTACAGAGAACAGAACAATTCTATATGCATTCTTTGTAGGGCTTCCAACGTGTTTGCATTAATAAGTCCTACTCCTACAAGCGCTGAAATTAATAATATGCATAAATATATATTTGCTATTAACGGTAATGTTTTTAAGGTATTCATAACTCTGGATTTCATGTGCACAAGACCGAGTCAGGAAGATTCTTGCTATGGTTCAGTTTGGTAAATTGAAGCCTTTATTAAAATTGGCTCTAACAAAACTATATGACATATTTTTCATATCAATGAAACTTGGAAAAGGTTGGATTTTGACTATTGATCAAAAACAATGTCAATCTTATACACACCTTTATGGATGATGCTGTTTCTCTCAATGTAATGAAGAACGCCTTATTGGAATAAATTCTAAGTACCAGGTGAGTCAAGTTTGGCATATAACACAGTGCTTCTGCTAGGTGATGATACGCGGCTGGTGTGGGACACTCGCCAACACGAATCTCGAGAGTCTTGACCTGCGTTCATGATGAATATAGTTAAGTAACTCATCTACACATACATTCATTTTATTTACAAATTTCTCCCTATATTTTTACATTTCATTCAAATTCCATTCATTACATAGTTGTATTCATAAAAAACATTCTCAGCAAAAATTATTGAAGAGATTTTCTTTTCATATTCAATTATTGTCTATTGAAAAATAGAACACACTAACGGTTACAAGGAGAGGATGATTTAGTAAGAGTGATTTAAAAAAAACTCTATATGTACTCTTTATAGGACTTCCAACCTGTTTGCATTGATAGGTCCTACTCCTACTAATACTGAAATTAATAATACGCATAAATATAAATACCCAGACATATATGTTTGCTATTAATGTGTTTAAGGTATTCATAACTCTGGATTTCAAGTGCACAAGACCCCTAAAGTCAAAATGTTTCTTGCTATGGTACAATTTGGTATATTCAAGCCTTTATTAAAATTGGCTCTCGGAAAACTCTATGACAAATTTTAAAAATCAATCAAACTTGGCAAAGGTCAGAAATTGATGATTGATACAAAATAATGTCCATCTTATCAACACTTAAACTTCAACTGAATCTCCACATGCAAGGTTTTTAATCCAATTCAATTCAATTCATTTGGCATGAATTTCTTTTACAAATCATAAATACAAAATATATAACAGGCCAGATCCTCTAAGAAGCAATTTGTGTTTGGTAAATGAGTAAATGAGTAAACACAATATCAAATTAAATTGCAAAAGAAATACAAATTACAGGGTATATATATTTTTAGAAGAGGAAAAAAGAGAGCAAACATTTTCTACAGCAGTTATTGACCATGTATATGCACACCCACAGTCACACACAACCATATACGAGCAATACAGAAAATGGAAGAGGTGGGAATGAGAAAGGGAAGACGTGGGAATTTTCAACTCCCAACTAGTACTCAGAGCAACCTTAAAATGGTTAGAATATTTCTGGCCACGTGAAGAGCTCTCAACCTATCAAAAACCAATAAATTTGTAATGCAGGATATAATTTTTGATATTCTATAGTTTAAAGTTTGGGTTAATATCAATGAAACCAATTCGGCATCAGGAAATCTTCAACCTATCTTCTACATTAATTCAAGCGTTTCAAATATTTATGTCTAACTGATCATAAACATCCTTAATCTGGAAGTGCCTTGTTTAAGTTGGATACAAGAATTCACAAAATCACTTCGGTGTTTGAGAAGATCCATGTCAGTAGTGTGCCCGTGAACACAATCATTCAGACTTGATTCCGTGGACACAATCATTCGCAGGTGTTACAGATACAGTGGACAGATTCGACAGAATCGCTCGCTGGTTTGATTCCGTGGACAAAATCACTTGCAGTTTGAATACTTTGAAATGATTCCATGGACAAAATCTCTCACGGGTTGATTCCGGGGACACAATCACTATGTGAGATTGATTTTGTGACAAAATCAATTGGAGTGATTTTGTGTCACATGTTATATAATGCCCCACTGCACATAGTTGACGTTCTTTGAAAAGAAGCAACATTCACACACGTATCATTTTGATGCCTCTCCCAAACAACAGCCAGTAGCACATTTAGGTTGAAAAAATTGGGGGGGGGGGGGGGGGGAGTCCCAAGTCATAAGGATTATGAAAATTCTTTTCTTGCAAATGCGAATGTGACTGACACTAAAAGGCAAGAATCACTCTCCTTTCTTATTTCTTTCCATTGGATGTAGCCTTAAATGAGCTTTTGTGTTTTATCTAAAAATTAGTATATTATTATTATCTACCCAATGTTATACTACATGTGCTTTCATCTTTTTCTCATCCATGAAGCTCCACTTCTAGTTATAATCGTAAGGTAAATCATTTCTAATATTTTTTCCCTCAAAACTTACTTGAATGAAATAACTCTAAACAACATATATCTATCATATTAAAGGGGAGGAAGTCCACCCCGATATTAAGTTGGTTTGGTGGAAACAGAAAAATAAGAAAAACATGTTAGTGAAAGTTTGAGCAAAAACCGATATAAAATAAGAAAATTATTAATATGTGTTCAATAAAAGACAAATTGGCAACTCTTTGACCCTGTATTACAAATAAGTTTTTCTTGCAACCCTAGTATGAAACAAATCTATTCCGTAATCAATAACTTAGAATATGAATGTTTATAACAAATTTCCAGCATACTGAGAAAATTGTAGAGGAGCTCACAAGATACATCACAGTGTTGCAAATATGTGTTCAACTGATGTCAACATCAAAAATTCATAACTTTCGTATCTTTAATCGGATATTGCTCAAACTGTCACTAATTTTTTTTTCCCTCTAAAACCCACTAAATATCAGGGTAGACTTTCTGTCTAAGTACATAATTATGTTGTGATCTTCCTACATGTGAGTTTCTTTTAGGGCATTGAAGTTATAAAGCATACACTGTTTACATAGTACTCCCCGCCCACCCTCTAGGTTTCCACGGTTAGTATTCACACTTAAAGGCTTTTGTTAACACTGCTGCCGCCTTAGTGAAAAGACCATTGATATCCTTCTGTCAAAAGAACCAGCATATATGAGACATTTAAAAGAATTTAAGAAAATTAAAATGTAGAATAGGAAAGGGAAGAGATGGTAATGGGAGTGTCGTGGTCGAGTGGTTTAAGGCGCTTGACTGGAGATGCGAAGGTCGAGGGTTCGAATGCCTTCACGGCTGTCATGAAAGGAAATTTGTCCAGACGAGAAGGGAAATGTACTTCTCAAAGGTCAGTTAGAGGTAGCCAAGCGTAGGATGCATTATTGCATCCATTTGCATTTAAGACACACAGTATATGGGGTTTTGGCTATACATGCTTTTGGGTTGGCTATTGAATGTAAATATAAATAGAAATAGCTTGCATATCTAGGAGGTTTTGAATGTTAAGGACCTGGCAAAGATAGGGTAAAGGGAAGTTGCTTTAGAATAATGAGCAGAACCCTTCCAGTCAGTGCTACAATGTAGACGTTTAATGCACGAGGTATTTTTTTTAGTAAGGCAGCAGAAACATTTTCTTCAGAGAGATCTTCAGGTACGTCGGGGCGAGATGCAAGCCCAAGCTGCCATGTTTTAGATTGGACACTCGTCAATAAGGAGCTCGGCCTACCTGCACAGACATAGTAAGAGAGAAGCTATCAAGTCGACTGGGATTTCTACGCAGTCTAGAGACTGGCAAAGCGATCAGGAGCTGGGAGGAACTCACAAGATGGAAGCTGCCCTGTACTAAAGTTATGTTCTAGTAAATTGATTATGTTCTGTTGATTTTTGATCGATTTGTAGGCTGAAGATTAAAATTTCATTGTACCTTTATACAATTGTGCTCTGTCCGGTTTCTGATAAGGTAGCAGTTTAAATAATTCTAAAAAAGTCACTCACGTGACAACGGCACTAATATCATTTGGCAAGATATTAACCTACACTTGCTACTCTCCACCCAGGTGTTAAAATGGGTACCCGGTAGGATGCGACCGTCATTGTTGGTCAAAACAGTTTGAGCGTCAAGTAAATCCTGGCTGGAATGCTCCCCAGGAGTGGAGGTTGTGCACAGTGTGTGCGGGCAAGCACTGAATCCAATGACCGTGGTAATAGTACATGTATATCTGTAAAGCGCTTAGAGATGTCCGAGTTGTATTAAGCGCTATATAAAAGCTGAATATTATTATTATTATTAAATAAAACACTCATACATACATCACAATTGTGGATGAACTGCTCACCTTTGATTCTTTTCCCTTCTTTGCAAGTGTTGCAAAAAAACAATGATGGAATGCACCTTGAAGAGAAACTTCCTTCAAGGATGGCATGGAGCATATCATCTCTCCCACATCAAGTGACATAGTAGGTCCACAATCTCTGTTAATATAGAGTTTAACCTGGATAAAATGACAAAGTGATAACTGATGGGATGCATAATATAGACATTTACTTGGATGTTAGTCATACATGCCTAGCCTACATGAGCAGTTGCCCTGGATGTGCTGCTAGAACTACAGAGAGTAAGAGGGGAAAGGAGATAAATAAAGGTACAGGCTGTAGAACTATTGCCATGACATTTCAGATCAAATTCCTATTTTTGCGACCATAGGAATATCTTATCTTTTAATAATTCTGTAACGTATTTCCTCAGATTATGAAACAAAAATCTTGGATTTAGCTCATGCTGCAGTCATAAGTATAAAATTTTAGGTCAGTCAGGAATCCCACGACTTTTACAAGCCGATCACCTGTCTGATTTATCAAGATATTTATGATTAGAAATTGGAATTTCATTCTTTGTTTTCCTAATCTTTTCAGATATTTTAGGGTTAGACCTCCTTTATGAACCCTTCATAATTATACTGTTGTACGGTAAGAAAATTGCAAAAGACATAAAAGTAAAAACTTGTACAACACTGGATGAACTAATTTTGTTTATTAAAGGGATCCGGTAACTTTGTCTTAGATCCTTTAGAAATAATCCTTGATTTAGCTCATGCTGCAATGATAATTATAAACCTTTAGGTCAGTCAGGAACCCCATGACTTTTACAAGCCGATCGCCTGTCTGATTATCAAGATATTAATGAATGATTGGAATTACAAACACTGGTAACATGTAGGACCATGTATCTCAGATTTAACATTGTTAAACGATCCCTTTAAACTATGATCAAACTCACCACATGTGGAACAATGAATGCAAACCCAGCTACAGTGTGTGCTGTCATTTTTTCAGATATGCTCAGCACAATCTCCTCTGATGAAACCCTGTCCTTCACCAAGGCTGCTACATCAGGGTCCAGACTCTCAAAGGCTACATCAGCAATGAAAGGTAACTCTTTATCCATGTCCAAAAAATGCCTGTTCACTCCCTGAAGCATAGAGTTCATTATATGGGTTGCAATACTTTTGTTCTGTGACAGAGTGAAGTACAGGAGATACCTAAACTCCTCCTTCCTTCGCGGATATACTTGCTCAATCAGCCTGTTGAATTTATTACGATCTGATTTATACAGGGAAGCAAGATGGACTCCAGCCATGTACTCCTGAAACAGTTTGTGAGGGAAGAAGACTGTCAATTGCACATGAGAATGCCTCTCATGTGGTTCCATGTCAGCAGTGATTCTGTCCTCCTGAGACAAAATCCCGACCCGACAGGCAGTGTCCTTGGATTCTGGGCATATTTTGAAATCATCTTCACCAAAAACCAAAGTATTTTCTAGCAGACCATTGAGGGCCTGTTTGGCAATTGGTACAAGGTCCTTATCAATTTTTTTCAAAAGGGCAATAAGTGGGGGGCTGTCTACTCTCTTCACCTCTTTCTGAGCATAGTGTTCTTTTAGAAAGGCAATCATTTCTTTGAATATCTGAGAAAAAGTTTTCAGTGATTTCATTTCCTTTAGTTTTTGCTTGTCAAGTTCTTTCCACATAAGACACAACATGGCCACATATATAGGATAATGGGCCATGTTTTCAGATAGGACATCATTCTCACTGATGAATTGGATAAGCTGATTTGCTTTATCTTTATTCTTTGGAAAGTATTTGTGAATGTAAACTGACAAATTCTCTCTGTTGAAACCCTCAACATGAATGAATGTGTAGAGCCTCGTTAGATCACCATCTGATCTAATCTCTACTGATCTCCATGGACGAGTGGTCACCAAGACTGAGCAAGAGGCAAGTTGATCCGAACAAAGAATATCTACAAGTCCAATATCATCAGTCTCAGATGAGCTTCCACATGCCTCTGAGGAGGTGACACTTGGCCTTGTTGGCTGCACTTGCATTTGATCAGTAGGCTGTGATCCGCAAGGTTCTGTCTTCATGATTTTGCCACTGACTTCGTCTAGCCCATCAAATGCAATGAATACCTTGTCAGGATTTGACCGGATATACTCAGTAATCTGATAAACCGTTGCTGGATTGTTTTGGGCCAAATAAGACTTTGCAATCTGGCCAATAGTGTGTTGCTTAAATTCCCGTAGAGGAACAATCAAGACCCACACAAAGTAACTGGAATGCCTCCCTTCAATCCAGTCCCAGGCAATCTTAGCACAGAGTGTAGTTTTTCCAGCCCCTGCCTCTCCCTGAACCATGATCCGCTTGGGGAACTCTCCATTAACTTTGAGATCAAAGATATCATTGTAATCTAGCAATCGCTTCCCTGTCCCATGTTCTTCTTGTAAGACGAGATTAGTATGCAAGTCTTCAAACTGCACAATGGAAGTAGGATTGAGAGGATCAGCTCTGATCTTACAGACAGTTGACCTGTACTTGAACTTGAAATCATTTGCACACCGCTCAACCAGTTCAGGAGAAAGTGGTTTGGTCTGAGATTCAGCTGAAGGAGGTTTGGTCTGTGATTCGAGCAGTCTTGGTGGCCCTCCTAAAAATACATAGATAATCCATATTCACAAGATTACACATAAATATATCTTGATACATCTGAAAGGATTGTTAGGCCAGAGACTGATAGTGTGACCTATGACTAGGAGCATGTACTCAAAGACAAAAGTCCTACAAGATTGTCTGATTTGATATGACTTCATTCAATGTTAAGGGCATTTAAAATCTGAGTAATTTGTGTATGATATGTACTTGTAGATGAATATCACTGGAATAATCTTTCCTAGGACATTTCAGCAATGCAGAGTTTCCCTGACAATCACACATTTTATTTTGGGAAAAAACAAGACAAATATACGACTGCATCTCCAGTATGCCTCTGCCTAAATTCAGTTAAGATCAGGGCCTGAATCGATCTTTAAATATCACAATAAGAATATATATAAATACATGTAAATTGAATTCTGCGATCACTCAAATTACTTGTACTTTATATTGGTGTCCAGAAAATATCTAGAATTAACAAAGATAAATTAGAAAATTATAAAAACATGCATGGGGCCTGATCAAATTTGACACTACTGTAAACTGTGGCAAATGTATAAAACACAGAGCACTCACTATCTTAAAGGTAATACAAAGTTTTGGGAAATTTTGAAAAATGGGTGGATAGTGAATCTTTACAATTTTGATATATTTGGATGCCCCTGTGGATGTATTATAAGCACTAAAAAAATTAGCCCCTAAAACACTTCTATTTTTGAGAAAAATTGAATATACAAATTTACCGGTGCTCCCGGTAAATTTTGATAAATTTCAAACAGCGCTTATGGCCGTACAATGGTAGCTGCGACCCTGAAAATCTCAGAATATGTAGTTGTGATATATAATTTCCAAACGGGAATAGCTAATCGGTCGATTTTAGTCAAGAAACATTGTTTCATAGCTAAATTAATATCTTGACCTTGAGAGGGAGCTATATTACAACATAAAGAGTTTATTATTTATAATTTCATAACTTTAGACTCGATTCCAACCGCGACAACGATCAATGAATATTGTAGGAAGGCATATGCTTCCAATATGTTAATTTGAACCAACTTCATGACCCTATACCAAATCTTTGTAATACCTTTAATGGTAAAAACTGACTTCACTTTTATGAATGTTTTTTTCATAAAGAGTTATGATTGATCTTACGTTTGATCAATACACGATAAGCCATAGACTTATGCTCAATATCAACCTTACGATCAATCAAAAGGCTTTATACATGGCACTGGTGTAGCAAGAATTAGTATCTGCTTACCTGTGCTGTTTGGAATTGGAGATCCACTGAGTAATCCGTCTGATAGGCCACCCAAGTCAATCTCTCGTAGTTTGTCTGCCAAAAGCTGTCGTTTGTCCGAGTGTGGAGGTTGCTGCTTGACATTCCATTTCATAAAGATATCCAGTAACGCATTGGTGTAGTTCTTCAAATTCTCAGCCAGGATTGCCTGTAGTTGAGCATAGGAGAACCCTAGAGATATCCCTACAGCGTTGTAGTAAGATGGAGCGATATCTTGGGCCAGCTTCAGGAACTCCATTTCACTGACAGTACTGTAAAATTAAAAACAAATCAATTGGGTGTAATGGTATATTAGTTAGAGAGCATCCTATTGGCTAAGAAGCTATCATGTGACATGTGACACCCAACAATTTGTATTATGTGCTCGAGCATGCTATATAACAACATGGGAATATAAGAATATATTGCCTGTAATATTAACATATGAAACATATTTCCCCAAATTGCAGGTGGGGGCGGTATTGTTCTGGGTAATAACTGCCCCAAAAGATGTTAAAATATATTGTATAAATGTTTCCTTCCTTGCTGCGTGAAGATCAATGCAAAGCTTTCTGTTTGCCCTCTTGAACTCGATACTTAATAATTAAACCATGTACCTTCATATCAGACTTCACTAAAATCCTTCAAACATAACTAAAGTTATTGAACGGAAACCAAATTTGTTACGGAAGGACAGAAGTACGGACGAACGGCAGCGTTATTTTCATTCTGTGGATGTTAGTGTGGAGTATCATAGAAAGAATCATCCTTGAAAAAGATGGGTCTTCAAATGCCCTCAAATAATTTGTTGTGGACCACACTTTCATGCTACTTTTTTGTGTAGTCCTATATACACATTTCTGTGTCCAGTGCATGTGACTTTTAGCAAGACTGGACAAAATAATAATTTTGACGACTCCAAACCCAAACAGTACACACCAATACTTTTGCGCTAGATGCATGATCAAACTTTTGAATCACTTCAACAATGTTTCTTTTGCAATGCAATCGCGTGACCAGAACTTAACTTTATTGTTCAAACCAAAAGGTTACTATATGGGCTTACTTCAAGCCAACGCGTCATCACTTCAGGGCGGGTGCTCTCGTTACCCGGCTTTTTGTGAAAACATGGGGGGGGGGGGGTAATGTTTGTGAAATAAACCCCATTTATTTACAAATGGTCTGGTCCAATTTACCCACACTTTGTGAAAACCCTGCGTGAAATCTACTAAAGATCGCATCCTGAACGTGCATCTTCACATGATCTTTTGTTTCACGAAATGTTGTGTAAGGCAACCACACGACTGGACGCGATGAATTGAAAAATGCCAGTATAATTATGCATACCTTTCTGCAGTGTTAGGACCTGGATTGGTTTCAACGTCACCAGATCTCATCAAGAGGATCAGGAGTAGATAGAGAAGGCAGAATCCATCCATGGTGTAAGATGTCTTTCTCACTTGAATGACAGAAATGTAGTTCTCTGGAAAATGGTGATGACATGGGAAACAATACCTGAAAACAATAATCACAAATATCTACATTAAGTTCGCTATGTCCATTTCATAATAGTGAAACATTTTGAGGGCTTTCTGAGGCCCATCCTTGGAGGAATGGCTGGGACCTGCCTTCAGTATAATTGTGGTCATATATATCAATGAATGCTGTATTTGGGCAGATAACAATGATTTTTTGATTTTTGTTTGTAGTTGTCAATCAGGGTGCATGAGTTTCTTTCACAACGCAAAGTGAAAGTCATCATGTCATCTAGAGCTGTAGTTTGTTCTTTAAAGCCCCAATGCACTACTTGCGCCCTCTATATACATGTAGCAATCAATGCCTAAGCAGTACCCATTGATCCCCCATCATCCCCTTTTTCTTATGTTTATTGAGAGCTGATTTGGTGAGATAACCAGCTGTCAGTGACCATGCAGGGAGGTCTAATCCCTCCTGGCCAAACTAGTGCAGTGGGGCTTAAGTAGTATACATTTCTAATAAGGTCACCGAGCAGATCATAGTTAATTATTTTCCAAGAAGCGTGGCAAAAGACCCACAGGAGATGAGTATCTTTGACAAGCCATAACTTAACAAATCAATTTCCAATTTAAATCATCTTTAACCCCTAGATTTTTCTTATCAAGAGCTTTACATTGATGTAGTTTGACCATATTTGAAGAAGAAAAAAAATTGGAGGAACATTGACTTACTGATTGAGCTCTCATTCTCTTATAATTGGTATGACCTAAGCAAGTTTTCAGTTAACGAATGGAAACCAGATTCGCATATTTAATGACCTTTGATCTACATACTCCGAAATTGAACTTAGCCTGTATTTTGATATCATGTACCTTCATATCAAATTTCATTAAAATCTGTCAATCATTACTGAAGTTATCGATCGGAAACCAAATTTGTTACCAGCGGACGGACGGACGGACGCACAGACGCACGGACGGACGCACGCACAGACGCACGGATGGCAGCGTTACTTTATCCCCTCCGACTTCGTCGGCGAGGTTTTACATGGTTTTTGAACGGCATCCAATAAATACGAGATTGGCTAACTCAATGAGTGTTGTCCTTCGCAAGCCTATAAACATTGACATTTTCAAGAATAGTCTACATTACGCAGGCGGCAAAGTATGTAATAACTTACCCTCTAATCTACAAAATGCACAATCCATAAACTGTTTTAAAAACATGTATAAGAAAACCTATTTCAGCAAATTATGAATAATATCATCGTTGTTTCTGCTCTTTTTGCTTTAAGTTAAATTTGGTACTTCATGATATAAGTTTATTTTGTAGTGTGATAGAGTTTTGATCTTAAATAGATTAGTTGATCATTTGATTCCATTATTGTGTTTTTATATATCTAATTTAATTAAATATCATGTAATTTTGACTTGGTTTTTACTCAAGATTATGGTCACTAAATATTGTTATCATGACTTCATTAGTACATGTATTTTAACAATTATCATTATATATGTATGATTATTTTGTTTTTATGTTTAGTGTAAGCTTTTAATATATTCAGGACCATAATGTAAACCAGCATGTTGCTCCTGTTGTCTCATTTTTGCTCGCTGGACCACTGCCAGCACAAACGTAGGTCTTTCAACGTCACTACCAAACTAGCTAGTCAGCTGTCAAGGACCTCATATTGCATGGAGGGGCAAATATATTTTGTGAAATTATTGACAAAAATACTATTTCTAATCGCAAACTAGTTTTATTTCTGTATGGAAACGCAGCCATTGTTGTCTTGGCATGCATTCAAGTCATCAGAATAGGGTAGAAAATTACGATTCAAGGGGTCTATTTTGCAGGAAAATTGTCTATTTTGTAGAATGTTCCACTAAGTTGCAGGGTGTATGCCATTTATTCATTTATTTACTTATTCGTTTTATTTAAACAGGGTAACTCTCTCAGTATAAATACTGTTTTTCTGAGAGGCCCTGTACACAAAAAAAAAATGATTACAAATACATGAAAAACAAACAGTGTTAAAAGACGTTTACATGGTTTTATATATATCAGGGTTATTTGTTTGTTTTATTTATTTGAGTTATTGTATATTATAACCCAATAATATACACACACAAAACAAAAAACAAACAAAAAAATTGACAAAGCAATATTTGTCCAGCTGATACAATATGAGTTTATGCTTATCCTATCAAATAGATCAATAATAATATAAGCATATATACATTAGGGATAAACTTTTACATACAAGGGAAAGGACAAATTTTCATGAGAGTGGAATACATTAATAGGAACCATTCTTATTAAACTTTGGCACTTAGTACCAAAAAATAAAATAAAAATAATCACAACCGCAATGTTCTCCAATATAGATTTGTAAATGATCGTTTGGATTGGGCCTGTCTAACACAAAAAGGGAGTTGGTTCCACAATGCTGCGCCTTCATGAGAAAAAGCTAGTTTACCCATCTTTTTTCGTGACAGAGGTAATGCTAGTCCAAAATTGGTTGCATTCCGGGTGCAGAATTGTGGAGAGTCTGGGATCTTATAAGTATGTTCGACAGGTAAGAAGGGCCAAAGTTATTTAGTACATGATACATCATTTTGCATTTGTGAAACGTCCACCTCCGTTCTACCGATACCCAGTGATGTCGGCGGAAGACTTGAACAGTGGGTGTGAGTTGATGTGCCCCAAGAATAATTCTGGCCATCCTTTTATGTTGGTTTATGAATATGACTTTTGTATTGTGTGGACAGTTTGACCAAGCAGTGGAGCAGTAATCAAACAGAGGCATATCAATGAGTTCGCAAGTAGCTTCAAACTATCTAGAGGCAAAAATCTGTTAGCGCGACTTGGAAGTGCAATCCTTGATGCAATTTTCTTGCTTGTATGTCTAACATGTTCTTTCCAATTTAAAGTTGGGTCTAACCAGACACCCAAATATTTGTAGGTATCTATTTGAGAAAGTTGTTGATTGTCTAAACATAATTTGATGGGTCGTGAGAGTGTAGCTAGTTTCTGTGAGGATCCAAAGAGCGATGAACTGTGTTTTAACCGGATTTATAGCATATTTGTTTGTATGCACCCAGGCTTGTATCTTTTTGAGTTCTGAGTTTAGCACACTCTCAATTTCTAGCGGACTTCTGCTACTGTAGAAAATAATTGTATCATCAGCATAAATCATGATTTGAGATTTAGTTATAACAAGTGGGAGATCGTTGACCATTATAGTAAAAAGGGGGCCTAAGATAGATCCTTGAGGGACCCCTGATTTTACTTGGCCCCATTCAGATTTATTTTCCCCTATGACAGTTCTCTGCCTACGATTCATCAGGTAATCCTCAAACCAAGCCAGTTCAACATTTTTTACACCATAGTATTGCAATTTTCCAAGCAATATTTTATGGTTTACAGAGTCAAACGCTTTACGAAAATCTATAAAGATCACACCGGTAAGACATCCTTCATCCATTCTCCTGAGGATATGATCGGAGAAGTACGTTAGCACTGCATGTATCTGTACTGTGTCCCTTATGAAATCCAGACTGCTGTGGTACTAGCATATTATGTTCTACAAAGAAGGATTGCAACTGTTCATGTACAGCACGTTCCATAAGTTTCATTACTAAAGGTATAACAGAGCTAGAGATAGGTCTGTAGTTATTCTAATCTTTTCTATCACCTCCTTTAAACATTGGGGTAACTTTACTCTCTTTCCACTCATTTGGTATTTTTCCCAACTGTATAGCGAAGTTGAAGAAGTGAGTAAAGTGTAAAACTAATTACAGGTGCTGCAGCTTTCAGTAGCCGAGCACTTATTGTGTCAAGACCTGTGGACTTACCCCTATACAAATTTAAGTTCGTCACGAACTCTTATGCGAACTATTATGCTCGTGGTAAGCTTAATAAGATCGTTTTTTAGGCTTTAAGCTCGTAACACGCCTCAAGGACGCTAGTAACGATCTTACAAAATCTTGGTAAGCTCGTGCACGAGTTCGCCACGAGCTCGTGGCGAACTCGCGGGTAAAAGAGGGAGTTCGTGGCGAGCGCGTGGACAAAAGGGGGAGCTCGTGGCGAGCTCGTTGGTAAAAGGGGGAGCTCGTGGCGAGCTCGTGGGTAAAAGGGGGAGCTCGTGGCGAGCTCGGGCGTAAACTGGGGAGCTCGTGGGCGAGCTTGGGGGTAAACTGGGGAGCTTGTGGCGAGCTCGTGGGTAAAAGGGGGAGCTCGTGGCGAGCTCGTGGGTAAAAGAGGGAGCTCGTGGCGAGCTCGGGGTTAAACTGGGGAGCTCGTGACGAACTCGGGGGTAAACTCGGGAGCTCGTGGCGAACTCGGGGGTAAACTGGGGAGCTGGTGGCGAGCTCGCTTGAAAATGGGGGATTTCGCCACGAGCTGTGGGAAAATGGGGGAGCTGACAGGAAAAAGGGGGAGCTCGCCACGATCTCGCTGGTAAACAGGTGATCGAGCTTCCAGGAAAACAGTTGGGTATACAGTGTGAGTCAAAAAAAAGTTTACACCTAGAAAATTGCTAATTATTTTAAAAATCATCTGTGAACAGTAAATTATTATACATCCTATGAAAGAGTGTTTTATCCCGAATCATTTAGTATCACTTTTGTGTGATATGTGTTCACGCTTGGATGAACAGAAGGCATTGTATGCCAGAGGGCAAAAATTGACTTGCGCCAAAGTTGCTTATGTGATGTTTGAATAAAACAATTGCGATATTGGTATTATTTCAGTCATTACAGATCAACATAACATCCCGAACAAAATTAATCATGCCACACATATCAAAAATCGAATATAAAATATCAACGAACATTGTTAGTGTGTGTGCGTGTGACTTTGCTTCTGCAAAAAACATATGCAATGCATTTCATTTGATACATTCAATTCATTCTCTCACTCCGCTGATCCCAACATAATACATACTAGGCATCATTTTGGCGCAAGTTGATTTTTTTCACTTTCACAAACAATGCCTCTTGTTCATCCAAGCGTGAACACATACCACACAAAAGTGAAACCAA